AATTCTTCTATTACAATCTGTCGAGATGTGAAACATAAAGTTCGAGAGAAAATCACGCTGTTGATGTCATGTTACGTTTTATTCTTCCTGAGCTGCAATAAAGTCCTCATGAGCCTTGGAGTTTCAATAGGAAGCGGATTAAAAAAAATCCATACTGATGTCCACCTTTTTGTGAGAGTCCTACTAAAATTCTAAGTAGGTTTCAGAAGAATTTAAAAAAAAAGAGGAGGGTTTCTTTTTATCTGTAGTGGAAATAAGCAGAAAATTCTTTATGCGATATATTCTGATAAAAGGGGGGTTATGTGCATGTGAAACTCAAATTAAAGGTGCTGTGTCTATGTTGGAATTCCTGTCAATCTTGGAAACTTAAGGTAATGCTTGAGTGGGCCAAGAAAGCATGTTCAAATGGTGACGAATTATTAACTTTGGGCCTTTAATCTACAAAGACAAGGCTAGTGGACTACATGGCTCATCATGGTCACGGCTTATTTGAAGTTAATTAGTCCAAGTTTATACAATTGGGTTAATTTATTAAGTGTATTGGGCCCTCTAAGCCCATAATTTCATATCGTGTGCCCCAGGCCCGAATCAAATAAAGTCGTGACTTATCCACTCCAAGACACGTCGTCCGTGAACAAGTCTCGAGGGGGCATTTGTAGACAATCAAATTTTGTGCCAATAAAATGGCGACAAGTGTCAAATTCCATGATAAAATCAATTTAATAATTTTCTATTTTATTTGGGAAATTAATCAAATTTTAATTCCTAAATTAAATAGTTAATTAATTGATTATTTAATATATATTGTTGGCCAATTAAAGAATGCCACATGTATATTTTGAAGGCCAATTAAAGAATGCCACATGTCATTTTCTTGGAGAGTAAAATAAATAATTATTTCTTTAAATAATTATTAAAGAGATAAATAAGTGAAAATTCATGGACCAATCAAATTGAAGTCTTCTTTTCCAAGAGTCCATCTTCTAATTATCTCTTTAATAAATAAATATTGGAAATTATGGACCAATCAAAATGAAGTCTTCTTTTCCAAGACTCTCTCTCCTAACACCTATAAATAGGGATCCTCCCTAAGGTGAAAAAGAACAATTCATATTCATATTTCAAGTTTCAAGTTCAAGAGCTCTAGAGAATTCTCTGCACGAGATTCAAGTGTTCTTGAAGATCCAAAGGCGTTCTTGAAGATCCAAAGGCGTTCTTGAAGATTCGAAGGAAGATTCAAACGCATTCAAGCTCAAGACCAACGTTCAATCCGGAAACAAGCTGCCAAGCCTCCGAATTACGTTATTAAAGTCAAATCCGGCGTAGAGAAGATCGAAGATCAACTTTGCGACGAAGACCAAGGACTCGTGTTCTTCACGTTCTTGGGAAATCAAGACGTTCGATTCGAGATCAAGCTGTCAAGCCCTCGAAGAAACGTTATTTAAACTCATATTCAAGACCGGCGGAGATCAAATTGAAGATTCATCTCCAAAAGTCTCAAATCCATTTGAAGATTGTTCTTGAAGAAATTAATCAGAGGAATAATAGAGATTTAGAATCCACTATATTTCATTTGATCCGTTGAAATCCATTTGTACGAAGTTCTCGTGTTTATAAATTCAATAATACGAATTTTGCGTTACAATCTCTTCCAAGGAGCTTCAACATGATGATCACGACAGTTGATGTCTCGAAGGATGTGACGACCATTAAATTTGAAGACCTTGTTGGCACTCTCAAGACGCTCGAGATAAATCTTGAGGTACATGATCTTCAAGAGAAGAGTTTATCGTCCGGGAAAGGAAAATGGATCGCCCTTCAATCGGTCCCTGAAGATGGTGATGACTTGGAGAATCTAATTCGTGATATGGAGGACAATGAGTTTGATGAAGAAGGAGTTGCACACATGACGAGACGCTTCATGTCATTGCTAAGAAAAGAAATTCTCAAAACAACTCCCAAGACTCCAAGTCCCGAGCACCGAGGCTATTTACTCCATCTCACTCAAATCGATCGAGTCCAACCTGTGAAAAGGCGAAACTCAACAATTGGAGAAAGTTCACCCTGAAGTCGCTCGAGACCGTCCAATGCTTGCAAAGGGTATGGGCACTGCGCAAATGAGTGTGCTAATACGTAGCACAAACGAGGATTGAATTTCAACGTCACTTTCAGCAATGACGAAGAAGTTGATGACGGCTCAGCTGAAGGTCAAGCTAAAAATGATTGGGATGCTGCTTTTATGATAATCTTCGACGAATCGAGACTAAAAAAATTGATCTGACAAGTTTCAGCTATTTGTAGTTTTTTAGCCGAGTACGATTGAAATATCTCGAGTCGTCTTCTCGAATGAAGGTTGTTTGGAGCTTCGCTCACTATCTAGTCGTCATCATAAAACCGAAAATAAGGTCCTAAACATGCTACTCGCTTGATGTGAGTGAAATTATACTAATTTGCACTAAAAATTGATAGCAATTGATGAAAGGTGAGAGATTCGGAAGAAAAAGAAAATTGATTTTATGTATTTCTTCACTTGATAAATGGATTGTGGGTCGATATTCTAAAATTATTAGCCCTATTCGAGTAAAAAGAAATATATAAAAAAATAAATAAATCGCACTTTGGAAACTTTGAAGGAAAAGAGCTACATACTCTATAAGAGTGCAGCTAGTCCTTGTGATCAAATTCAGATGACGACAAGATTGAAGAGGATTCAAGGGCGAATCCTTAGAATGATGATGACGAGATCGCACTTTCTTTATTGGAAAAAGGGGATCGTCGGCGTCATTAGTCTTTATTTATTTTTCCTTATTTATTATTATTCATGTTATTACTTTATTTAGTTTGTAGGTGAATTTTTATTTATTTACCTATTCTTTTTCTTGTTAGATAATTAGTATATAGGGATTTTGGACACTATATATTTATGCTTTAGGGGAGCATGACCGCGGCTTTGATTGAATAAAAATACAAAAATCTTGATATTTATATCTTTTGTTCTCTTTCGTACACGCTCGTTGGGTCATTGTTAACCGTTAGGCCGGTTTAAAAGTAGTTCCCTACTTTGGTAAACATTGAACTTTTTTTTTAAATCCTCAAGTCCATTCAGAATTTCAGATTGTTGCAGACACTTTAATCAGTGTCTGAGCCTTGGATTTAATCAAGTTGTCCAGCAAAACCTAAGAAATTCAGAGTAGACAATTGCGAATTGGGTTTGGGTCAAAATGTACCAAAATAGGGGTCACTACCAACACATGCTAAACCAAATTTGCTCCAAATCTCTATTTTATTTTTTCTTTTTCTTATTTTTTTTGGCTGTATTTATGTTTTTCCAGTTCATTAAATCTTCAATTTAAAGCAGTGTCCTTTCCACATCTGCANATAACAAAAAAAAAAAAAAGAAAGAAAAAAAGGTAAGATGAATTATAAATGCTGTAGATTTCCCATATGCTTACAGATTCACAAATCAGATTGTGTGTTATAAAACTAGGAGTGGGCAAAAAGATGGTCTACTTTATTACTTTCCTAACTTTTTTCCAGATTACAGAAAAATCCCACTTCATCAGAAGCAAAATTTATCACATTGGTTGGCCCCTTCTTTTTCTCTCTCTCTCTCTCTCTCTCATTTTTTTTCCTCTCTGAATTTGTGAATAGTATGAGAGCAAAAGTTAGATCTTAAAGAGCTTTTTGAGTGTCCCAAAGAAATGTGACAGCATGCACTAATAAAGCTGAAAGCTTTGATACTTCTTTCTTTTTACTTTCTTTTGTAGTCAGAGAAGAGAAAGAAGTGTAGGGGACCATCTTATCTTTTATTTTTATTTTTCAGGCAATTTTTATTTCATTTTATTTTGTTATTTTCAGAATTTTTCACTTGGTTAATAACTATTGCATCTCTTTCCAGAAGTTTTACAGTGGTCCTTTTTTATTAATAGCATTTATCTTTGCTGACAATAGGGTACCCTTGACTTCAGGGAAAATAAAAAAGAGGCAAACAATACACAGTAATATAGAGAATCTTTGCTTTCTTTCTTTGAATGAACACTGTTATCAAGTTCAAGAAGGTATGTTTGTCCCAAGACTTACAATACTGGCCTGCTGCTAAGCTATTTCTTCTACCCTTTTAATTTTATCTTCAAGAGTCTAGCTTAAAAGATAAAAGTTGACTAATGGGATAATTGGCATTTTACTTACTAAAGGATGGTGGCATTTTGTAATTTACTCACTACACTTTTACAAAGGCTATTTTTTACAAACACTTAATGATGTGGCTGAAGCCTGAAGAGTTGGTACAAGAGTTAGCATATCATACACTTCCCACATGTGATTGAAAGATAAATTAATATGCTCAACAAGTGATGTAAGTAGATTAATATATCATACACACATGAACTTTAAAAAGATAATGAGATCTTGACACGTGGCTGGTGCACACGGTAGCAATTCTATTTTTGGCCTTTGATCAACCAACAACCGCTTACTTTGACTATCATGAACTTATAGATGTTAATTTAAAGTAGCCTTGAGAGTAAGGAACAATAGATATTCAATTATTTTAACATTTTGAGGACAAAATACAAGAAACTTTACATAGTATTGAGGATAATTTGCAATTGGTTGACCTTATATACCCATCTCATACAAAAAATCTTCATAAAATCGTGTTTCTCTTCTTCTTATCTTCNTTAGGGTATGTTTGCATACAAAATTTTTTAAAAAAATTTCAACATTTTAACTCAACCACTTTTTCTAACTCAACTTTAACTTTCCACTATCATCAATATTATCAAATATAATTAAATAATATCAATCAATCATTCATGTACACCACATCAACCTTAATTCACTGTTCATCCACTTATATTATTTTAACTGACAATCACTTCAAATCATCTCTCATACTTTTACATCAAATTAATTTTGATTATTTTATTTTAATTATTATTTTAATATACCCACTAACAACTAACCCTACCACATTTTTTAAAATTAACCAAATCAAACCAAAAAAATCCAAATCAGAATTATTCACTTTCATCATGATTTTTCTTCCTGCTGCCAACAAGTCTTCTCTTTCCATGTTAAAAATGAATCTTGATTGTTCACCTCTCAATTGCATTAAGCTGCATGAAATCTTTCTATTTTTCCCTCTGGGCCTGCAAATCAGTTCATTGTGATGATGGCTTACCGTTTTAGGCTTCACCTAGAAGAAGTCCCAAAACCTTTTCTTTTCCTATTTATTCTTTCTTTTCACCCATCATTTGAAGTAACCCATTAATCCTTTTTTCCCTCTCACCATCACTCAAACTCTCATTTTCTTCCCCTGAAGAACAAACAACATTTTCCATCACATATTATTCAACCACATAAAAACATCATTTCACATCAAGATTCAATCTTCTAAAATAAAAATATAAAACAAAAAACACAAAAACATTCTTTAAACCTTGTTCCTTTTTCTCCTCTAACCATCACTCAAAACTCTCATTTTCTTTTTTTCCGATCAAGATTCAATTTTTTTTTTTTCTCCAAACAAAAACCCACATTTTTTTTTTCAATAAAAAGACAAGATCATCATGGTTTCACAAGACTCACCACCCAACTCCACAAGCTCCAGCATCATTCACCAATTCATCATCCCAAACTCCATACCCGACCAAACCCACTTTCCAAACGACCCGTTCGGCCCATACCCGGCCACGGCCCACCCAATTTCCAACATTGGCCCTTACCACCATCCGGACATGACCCACGAGGGGCGCCTAATGGACCTTCTCGGCACCCCAAATCCCGCCCAAAGGCTCTCTTTATCCCTGGGCTCCGGCCCATGCAGCCAGATTCGGCCCATTAACCCGACCCATCTAAATCCCGGGCCCGATACCCTGCTTATGGGGGATTACTCCTTCTCGGGGATAATCACCGACAACAATCACCACGATCAGTCGTGCTCGACATCGTACGGCCAGGAATCGTTCGCCGAAGTTATTGGGAGTTCGAAGTATTTAAGGTCGGCCCAATCGCTCCTTTTGGAGATGGTCAGTGTTGGGGGTGAGGAGATCGAGGCCAAAAATCGGAAGTATGCCCACAAGCTGTCACGGGCCAGGCGGAAAGGATGTATTGGGCTCCAACCCAATCTCCAGCCCAAGTTTTCGGATAGCGAGCTGTGTGTTTGCCTTCTCAAGCTTCTTGCTTTGCTGGAGGAGGTTAGTATGTTTTTTCAATTTTATTTAATTTAAATTTTTATAATCATTTATTTTTCTGGGTGTTTTTAGGTGGAGAGAAGGTACGAGGAGTATTATGATCACATGGAGGATTTGGTGACGTCATTCGAGATTATAGCGGGTTTGGGCTCGGGTCGCTCGTACACCGCACTCGCGTTGCAGGCAATGTCCAAGCACTTTTGCACACTGAGAAAGGCTATCCTGTCTCAAATTTGGGCTGCTCAGCAGAAGATGGATAAGGACGGGCCCAAATTCAGCTCGGGATTGTCTGGGCTGAGCCTGTTGGATCAAGAGGGCGGCGGCCAGAATCGAGTCTCGCTCCAGCAGATTGGGCTTATGCATAACTCGCGCCAGGCCTGGAGGCCCATCAGGGGATTGCCGGAGACATCCGTCACCATTCTTCGCGCTTGGCTTTTCGAGCATTTTCTGCATCCGTATGGATTTATTTCATTTTTTAATTACTACAAAAAAACTGCGTTATACTTTTAAATAATAATAATAATTATGGTTCGTATATTTCGCTAATGTGTGTAAATATTTTTAATTATTTTCCATCCAGTTATCCTAATGAGTCTCAAAAACTCATGCTAGCAACACAGACAGGCTTATCAAAGAATCAGGTAATTTTAGTTTGGTTAGCAACAAAACATTTATTTTTAGTCTAATTATGAAAATAATTGAGTTCCTTTTTATATCTCTAATTTCTCATGAACTGCATTAGTAACTCTGTAAATGAGAATTTCAACATGAAACATAACTGAATATACCATGTTTTTCGTTACTTGTGTCTTTTACTTGCATTTCAATTAATATTTAGCTTTTCCTATAATATAGTTACTGTTGAATTGACTTTCCTGATTGATCATCTAACTTCTAAGCATGGTTTTGTGGAAATAATTGTTTTTCAGGTTTCTAATTGGTTTATAAATGCCAGAGTTCGATTGTGGAAGCCAATGATAGAAGAGATGTACAAAGAAGAATTTGCTGAGTCCTCCACCGAGTCGGACCAACCGTTGGAAGCAGGCGGGGATTCTTCCGAGGACTTAGTTTGAAAATATAAATTCTGATGCTTTTGAACAAAAACATATTACAAATTGTTGTGCTCAAACTATATTTTGTTCTGGTCTTTGTAGCTGTTGGCTGTTGCTGCTCAAATGAAAATGATTTGGGCAGTTATGTTAAGGTCTAGGACTAAACCAAGGTGTAGTTTCCTACACAATACCTGCTTAATTTTCCCAATTGATCACTTGATAATTAAATGTTTCAAAATCAGTTAAATAAAATTCGGTTTAAACTGATTTTTTTATGATTAAATATTAATTCGAGTTGAATAAACTATTTAGAAAAATAGTACGCTTCAAATAAGTACTCATGGTATATTTATATTTTCAAAACTAATTTTTGATGAGTATGAAATAAATGACTAAAGTTAGTCCTTAATGGGAGACTAGTGCTGTTAAATTGAACGAGTCTAGCTTGGCTCGAGTTTAAGGTCTTAACGAACTGAGTTCGAGCTAATTTAAAGCTCGATCGGTTAATGCTCGGCTCGATAAGGCTCAAAAATAGAATTTTTATATAATTTTTTGTAGTTCGGCTCGTAAAGCTCGAGCTTGGCTCGTTAAGGCGGCCTTAACGAGGCGAGCTCGAGCTCGAATTTTGGCTTGTTTATTTAACAAGCCGAGCTCAGCTCGAGCTCTGCTCGGCTCGTTTACAGCTCTATGGGAGACTAAAATTAGTTATTAAAGGGCACGCAAAACGATATTTGTGGAATTCGAATAGTCAATAGTTATTTCTCATGTTGGACGCTTAAATGACGATATTTCTCTTTATTTTATAATAAAAAAGTGAAAGGTCACTAGATAACAACAAAATTATGCATGCAGTGATGTGCTGGCTTTGGCTAGACGTGCATACCCACCGGTATGACCCGAGTACAGGCATGAGCACGGGCCTTAGACCTTGGTACTTGGACGGTTTGGGTCGGTGTTGGGCTTAGGCCCATCCACTGTATTCTTTTTGCTGCATAATTATTTGCAAAGTTCTTGCCCAAATTGAGTTGGGTTTTGGACAGAGTTTAGACTCATTCCGCGTGACCTTCACCAAATACAATGTACCTAGACATGTTAATACCACCTGAAAATTTTGGAAGATATCAAGTGGAGTAGTGGATTGTTAACATTTTAAAACTGTCTGACTGTCTTGATGCTCTTTACAGCAGTGGTCAACAGGTTGTTACCATTCTTAAGTGGCAACTGACTCGTGATTTCTCTTGCTTGAGTTGAAACTCTATGAATATTTCTTTAGTGGTAACAAACACACAGAACATACATATGCATCTGTACTTTCTACTCATAGTCTCACATCATAGATAGTGATACACAAATTGTAAAAGACTAGTTTTTCCTGCCATATCTCTGCCCAAATTTTTTTTCGAGCTATCTTCGACTGATATAGTTAATGTTGAAAAACAATTTCGAGCTATCTTCGACCATGATATAGTTAATGTTGAAAAACAAATATGAGAAAATCAAGCATCGTCAACTAGTAAAAGACTAAAATTTTCCACAGACAATGCCCAATTTGACATGTAAATTGTCCTAGACCAGCGACCTCATGAACCGTCTTTCAACTTGAACTTGGGTGACTTGCGAAATACGCCAGAAGGGTGCCGATGGTAAATCCTCTGATACTTAAGTTAGATCTTGCTCGTGAATTCTATAAAGCTGGTATATAGCATTTAATATGTGTTAATTCATAAAAGACCTAGGTAATCTCCTTTTATAAGAAGGTTGTCTTCTTGTCCAATTAACCTCATTACTAGTAAAAAGATCTCATGTATCTCGTTTCTGTTAGTGTGTATACTTAAAGCTTGACTTTTTGCGTAATAAACAATATTTTTTTGTTGAATGAGAATAAGGTTTAATTAAACTGTCTTGTACTCTGATGTTTTACATTTGAATGTTGTGGTTCATCACAGATGGACATAAGATCTCATATTGGTTACTTGTAAAACATAAATAATATAGTTCATGACAACCTAAATGGAAATGAACAACTCATCGTGAACAGTTGTAGTGTCAAATGTATAGTCTGTCTAGACTGATTGGTTACACTAGTATACTGTGTATATTGAACGGATTCTAGTGAGGATAAGTTTGTTTTGTACTGATCGATAAACAAACTAGACCTCGGCTAATTACGGTCTACTCTTAACCCGTAAGATATAAACATAAACGTGCATACAGTAAATGCTACTTTGATTCACTAAAAAGTGAGACTCATTCTGTTGAGTCAATAGACCGATGTGTTTTGGGTAATGATGTTATGTGTATGGTGTGTTGTTCTCATATTTATGGTCACCGTGTACGATAGTTTGATGATGTCCCCGAGATGAGCTCAAGAAAGATTATTATGTTAAACTCTGCAGGTGATTAAGTTGCGACATAATAATAAAGCATTGAGTGGTACTAGTCTCAGTACAAGAAGTTGATTAAATTTATTATCGATAAATAATTAATTAGAGGACATTATATCTTAAACACTTGAAGATAAATCGAGAAATTATTATCAGATTTCTCAAATGTAATTTCAGAGCCAAATGTGGAGATCAGCGATTTTTCTTTGGTGGATTTGAGAATCGTTCAAGTATGAGCATAGTGTGTTTGACCCACAGTTAGGCTCATACCTGAAAAACCCATATTTGACACTTCTTTAGGGTCATTGTTGTAGCCTATAAATACACAGCTTCTCTTGGGATTTTTAATCACCATACGTGAGAGAGCTTGTTAGTCGCCCACCAAGACGAGCAAAGTCATGTAACAAACAGAAGTCTCGAGGTCACCCGAGACAACCCCGATCGAAAGAAAAAAGAAAAAAAGAAATTACCAATGCTAAAAGTGATTTGGCTGGTCATTAAGATTTCAATTTAAATCTAGTAGATTCAATTTATGCTTTTCACTGTCTTCCAACAAATATAAAGTATTTAAGATTTGACACATATTAT